GTCCGACGCTGGCTGCTGCTCGCTGCTCGTCCGGATCACCCGCCTAGCCACCTAGCCCTCCCGGCTGCTTTGACTCGCTTGGCTCACCCACCCTCCATTACCGCGAATCTGGCTAACTGAATGCAGACACAGATTCATAACCAACGTCCTAATTTTCCTCCTGGCCCTGTACGCGGCCGTATATGGGGTAACATATGCGTATAGACTCCACCATGGGGTTAATCTCCTCTGCGCGTGGCTTTGGGGCGTTAATTATCTTGGGGGGGAGAGGAAAGAAATTAGGGGGAGGGATGCTTCGCCTGGTGAGAAAGAGACGAGGGTATGGACAAAGGAAAGGGAGAAAGAAAGAGATGGGGGAAAGAGGACGTAGAGGTAATGGTAATGATGAGGGTTTGGCTAGCATTTCTTTTCTACGTTTTTATTTTTATTTTTTTATCGTTATTTTTATTTTTTTCTCCTTGAGAGGAGGGGGGACAGAAGGATGTGTATATGACTGTCTCTCGATGAAGAAGGGGAGGATTTGGGTGATTTGGTGAAGTGATGTGACTACGGACCGATCCGTCCAGTGCGGTCGATTGTGCCAAGACCTCTCACTTCACCTCGCTGTTACTTGCGGGGCGCTACATTTACGCGCGAGGTAATCACATCCCGGGGATTTTGCGATGTAGACGAGCTACCGCTTATGTACTCTACGGGAGTGGAATTGGAGTCTAATCGGTGGAAGGCCTTTTTAAACAGCAGCAGGGTGATTCCTTGAAAATCCCACTCTTTCAACAGAAGCAAGGTATCTCGAAGGGATTGAATCGAGCTGCTGTGCTCTGAATTGCTGCTTGGAAACATCCCAGTATGACGTGACAAGCGCAGTTTGATTGGTACTATACATGATATTTGTCCAACCAGAGGAGGTCTTCGTATGACTGAAAGCAATCTATGGGCTGAAAGAGTCGCTACTGCTGTGGTATGCAAAATCCAAGGGGTGAAGTGTACAAAATGGACGATCAGAATAACAAATTCCGGGGCTTCATTGATCGGACTTTCTGCACTTGTTGTCTGCCAACCAACGAGGCTTCTACTCTGGATGCAAGAATTTGCATGGCTTGGAGTACCTGAGTGCATATACCCCCGATGGTTTGCTTGCCCTAAATGGCTCTATGAAGGGCCTGTAGCTGACAGCACCATGGCACGACTGGGCGATAATTTCCAGACTCATCAATTCTCCACCCTGGTGACTCGGCGTACCGCACTCATCGCTACGTGGGAAACGCTATGCCAAGCTAAACCACTGGAAATGTCCTGATGCCAAGAGTAAGATGAGTGTGAAATAAATTCGTTAATCTTGCGATTTGGGTTTAAGGCCATCTGGATCAACGGCTGGGCAGAGTGGCAGTCGGGAACGGGTGACTGTTGAGTTGATGCCAAAGAACGTGCACGCTTACAGTACTTGGCGCTGCAGCAAGGCTTGTCGAGTTCTTCGTCGAGTTCGAGAGATTAATGGTCGAAAGTGTGGCAAACACTGAAGCCCTGTGGTAAGACCAACCTCTTAGCGCCGTAAACCCGGAATTGAAGAAGAAGCTGGTTCACAAGTCAAGGATGGCCCTTTGGGGATCTGGTAGCGAGGATGCAATGCGTACAATCTTCTAGTTGCATGACTCCATGTGTGGAGATGTGACTTCCTTACATCCGGCGGTGGTCTTTGCCGCAGATTCTGGGTATCTGGACTGAAGAAGTCGACACTAAGAGAGGCAAAGTCTCCGCTTTACATTGTCAGTCGTGTCACAAGTGTCCCGTCATTGTCCTTCACAACACTATTGCTGGTGGCTGAAGTTTCTACCGCAGATCCACGGCGAATCCGCGCGACCTCTCGTTTGCAGCCCCTGGGTGTGGGTTTTTTCTCTCCTCTGGGAATCTACTACAGCAAGGGCCCACAATCTCATGATAATGACCAAGAGGAGCATTTTTAAGGTTGGTTGCTGCAACGCTTGACAGTCGAATTGACGGGAATGGTGATTTTCGTCGACGCTGGCTCCGACAAGAGTGCAGAACGGGCTATGCTGTTGTCACTTGGTTTACTTCTGCTGCCATGCTTGTGGACGGATTCTCGAAGGCGCTGCCTTTCAGCAAAACGCTGATGACGACGTTGTTTGCCATGGGAGGTGTAGCGCTGGGGAAAACATCCCTTTGCGTCCGCGATAGCGGTGAGATGCAGGCGTCTCACCACCTTTTGCTGTTCCTCAAAGCGACCCCGAACAGCTGTTTCGCGATCCCTTTGTGTCTGAGTTCTCGAAGCGTCATAACGGAACAGATCTCGGATGATCACAAGGAATGGTCGCCCCAAAAGATCAAGGCCAACAAGCTAAGGTGGGCGGCATATGCCCAGGACTACGCCAAGTGGTCGGAAGATGATGATCTCGCTTTGAGAATCATTTACGATCGCTGCTTCCCCGGAATGCAGCCAATGGTCGAACAATGTTCAACAGCTTTCGAGGCATGGGATGTTTTCCGTCGACCGTACTCTGTAATAGGGTATGCCACCGTCTATAAGGCCGTGACCACCATCAGGCATGCCTCCCTGTGGGCCAGCAAGTTCCTAGAAGATTACACCAAGGGCGGTACAGAAATCAGATTCACTGTTGGCGATCTGGTACACTTTCGAGAATGGTCTATTTGGTGCGAGATTTGAACTGTGAGGCGCTGGCTTGATCATATCAGATCACCAATGAGATGGGTCAGCTTCTTCGCATTCGTGACCGTAGTGGTCTTGACTTTGTCGGGACTAGACTAGTTCGGGATGGGGGAAGAAGAAAAGTCTGTTGTGGGATGTGGTCGGAGTGCTGGAAAAGCCGTCCTACATGCATAGATTGCGGCGGCGTGAGGATCTGCCAAGATTACAGAGAACTGGATGGATTAACGATCAGTGATTTGTTCTCGTCTTCCAGATACATGACACATTGGACTGTCAAGGTGGTCTTCAAGGCTACTGACACCTCCTGACTACTGCGCAACAAAGCCCAGTCACAAATGCACGTATACTGAAACGAGAAGGAAGGAAAGTTCACCTTTCAGGGCCTACGCCGTGCAGAGTCTATGTAGACGATAATCCTCACTTCGAAAAGGGGAGCCGAATACATTTCCCTGAAAGCATACGGGTCTAACTTCTCACCGTCTAAAGTTAGACACAAAGCTCAAGGGGCCTGTTCAAAATTCTCAAAGTCCACGAAAGTGTTCGTCTCGACTTCAATCCATCCAAACCCATCATCGACCAGCACTCTACGAACCGCTAGGTAGTATGCCACACGACCAAAGTAGAAATCATGAAGGCACTCTAGACGATGAACACCCAGGCGACAACTCTCTTCGATCCGTCCTCTCATATCGACAGCGCGAGGGAATTGACCAATGGAGGCGCCTCTTTCAAGCCATCCTCATATGAAGCATGATGCAAGATGCGCAGAATCAAGTTCCGGATTGCTGGGGTTCACAACAACCATCAGAGTGGCATCTCAGAACGCAGTCCAAGAGTCGCTTGTGCGGTTTGACCAGTACAGACTTCTAAACCCTACAAGCAGGCGATGGCTAGCCCAGAGGCAGCCATGCGAAGAGAAAATGGACAGTCCCCACACCAGCAAGGTATGAATCTTAGTGGACAGGCCTGTGGTCGCAGGTGAATTTTGCCTCCAAACAATACAGGCAGTGATGGTAATCCCACACGCCACAAGGCACGGTGAGTTACGAAAGAATACGATTGAGAGATACCGCAGATGCCGCCCTGTGGCAATCATGCCCATGTCATATAGCCAAGAAACGACAACCCACATATACAGAGACATAGGCGTAAAAGTCCACGTCCAAAACAAGCCTTGTGAAGTCTGCTCAAGATTTTCAATCCAAGCACGATTGCCGGCAGGGGAATACAGTTCTCTTCGTCACCGCCGCGTACCACAAATCCCAGAGTGGAATAGGGGAGTGATTTCCAAAACAGCAAGGGTCATGACAATTCAAGCTACTTTACTTGGATCTGTCTGTCCAAAGCTTGTACAGCTTGCCTGCTGGATTCTCGGCCGTTTTACCGAGCAGACGTTGGTCTGTAAAACGCGATATGAGATTCTGCATGGCTCAAAGCCAGATCTCTCATCGTTGAGAAGTTCCAGGGTGTACAGCCTAACTGTGCCGTATAGAAGAAGTGAAAATGGGCGTTTTTCTGTCGGAGAAAAACCAGCCCAACTGCTCCGCCATATTAACTGCCAGTAAGGCTTACATGTTCTCTTCCGAAAATGCGACAACGATACGGTCTTCCAGCTCTCCGACCCAGCTAACTTTAGAGCAACCGAGTCTGCATATGTTAAACTTGTACAGCAGGGGATGGTGTTGAACTAGCTGCAGCAATACATGGAGGTCTGGGCAGGGTACCTGCCCTTGTCCAGAACCTCGCATTGGCTGGGGAGTCCTGCTATTCTGGTGGCAGTGGTGTCAGACATTCGCTGCTTGCGGTTGCATTGACCTGTGGGTACGGAGCGACGTATTTCTTGGGTTCTGCGTTAGCCGTGACAAGTCGCAGTAGATGAGGGGAAGGTCAAGTGATCGGTAAGGCGGCTGCATGAGATGGTATTGCACAAATGAGGGGCCTCACTTTTATCCAGTCTGGAGAGCTTCCGGTTTGCACATCACACGCTCAGGTATCAGTCCTTTCCTTTACTTCTGACACGAGGGTCGCAGGAACATGGTGGCGGCTTGATGAGGAAGGGTTTTAACTGTGGCTTGAAAAGAGTTTTTTTTTTTCGCTAGATATGGTGTCAAGAGTTCTAAGACTGTAGCTCTGCATTCTTCTGAGGTCTTTTTCAGCTCCATAGGAGAAGCAATAGCAATGCGACACACAGCTGAACCTTAAACTGAAAAATAATGTCATGAAAATGAAGTCATTCAAGAGGGATTTGGCTGTACAAGTTAAATCTCTTTTATTTGTTAGTATATATTAACTTCTTCTGGCTTCGCTAATATGAAAAGGCCGTATGGCCCAATGGCAAGGCGCTTGACTACGATTGATTGCTTACCCCGCACAACGTCATCAAGAGATCGCAGGTTCGACCCCTGCTACGGTCAATTTTTTTAAATTTTTGCTACCCGCACACGTTCTGGAAATATCTTTGGGTCTGCTGAGGGATGGAAGGTTTCAAGTCTTTCTTCAAGGGCATGGGCAGTGCTTGGGTGGAAATGTTTAGAGAGTGTGGTTAAATTTAATGAATTGGAGGCTATGTATTGGTGACCTAGTTTTGCTAGTGGAAAGTGCCTGTATACCCCTTTTCAATCAATATTTGGGCCAGCATTATCATCGTTGTAAATGTGGTGCTTTTTCGTGAGCTGAAGGTCAGTAATGCTGATAACCCGTTCAAGATGGATCCCTGCACCCTCAAAAGGCTCCAAGCGTTTCAGTATCCAACATAGCAATGGGCAGAGACTCCATGGTAACTTGTGTAAGTCATCTTCGGATTCGATGTATGCGTGGTTGCGATGTTAGAAGTCTTCCCCACTGCGAAAGCGTTGTCCAGAATCACTTGGAGATTCTGGAACAGGCTACAGAACTCGAGTTGGAGTGGCTGGACTAGTTCAGCCAAGTTATCAAACCCATTAATAGTCTAAACTCCACACTCGCCATCTTTGCGCTTACAAAACTCTTAGGGGAAGAAGACAATGTGGTCGTTTCATGCGCTCACAAACCCTTGAGCTCGGTGATTGATTTCTCAAATGGCAGGGAGAATTTAGGATCTAAGGTTCAGATCTATCACGAATCCGTCCGAGACTTTCTTGTGGATTCCAATTTGAAAGACAACTCTAAGTTTTGGACTGATCAGAGTCTGTGTCCGTGCGGCAAGCCTGCTGTCATTTTTATTATTATTATTATTATTTCTCTTATGCCGATGGAGCTGGAATGCATCATAGCTCTTCCTAGAAGGGCATGCGGTCCATCTACAAGTGTTTAACTAACGATTAGGCTTCATTCGCACAGTGCGGGTACCCTCGACGCTACACATAATCTGGGTCTCTCTCCACCCAGTTTGGTGACGAATACAGAAATAAGGATTGAGGAGAAGGGGGAGGAGGGGGAGGAGGAGGAGGAGGAGGAGGAGGAGGGAGTGAGTGAGGGAGCGGGCGGGGCTTCTATTGTTCCCACCGTCTTGTTGGTCTCAGTCGCTGGCGCCTGTTTGTTCTGCCGCAGCCGCTCGCCTCCGCGGAGCGCCAGCGCCTACTGTAATTAGGTCCGCCACGCAATTCGTAGCTACTCGAAAATCCAAAATTATGGCTTACACCCATTCCAGCTTTCGGTTCATTCGTTTTGTCCCAGTCTCGACTCATTTGCCCTGCACAACCAATTGTTCCTGATCCTGGCGTGGGATTCTAGATACTCTGATGATTTCTGTCTTCATTTTCACTCTGTGTACGCCCACCCCGACCTTACTCTTGTCCATCCTGCTAGCAAATCTAGTCGTTGTAAACTCTGCACCAACAATACCCGGACAAAAAATTGCACTTTCTGAAGACGCTTGGACTCGTTTCAGTTCTGCTTGTGTCCATCCCAGGCTTCTTCTCTTTTGCTTTGCATCAGTCCCGACCGACTTACTGCCAACTCCGCATTAACAGCTTCACACTACCCTGGCGTGCATCTTGCATATCCTAATAATTGCCTTGTTCATATCCGCCTTGTATATGCCCAATTCAGCCATTATTTGGCCTGCCTTGCATCAATTCCGACCGGCTTGTTGCCATATTCACACAGACCATGTCCTATCCTTGACAATGTACTGTTGAGATCTTCATCATATATCTGTTTCCTTCAGTATAATATAAGTCTAGCGTTCCTTCTGTATATATTGTCTTTACGTTCTCGTATCTAAATGAGACGATTCATGTCTCGTCTTCCATCCTGTAACCGAGCTGTTTTTTCAATACTCTGGTTACATTGTTATGCAGGGAACCTTTTCAGTGAGCAAGATTGTTTTTGTAGCTGCAGTCATCGAGGTGGGGAAACATTTATAGTGCACCTTATCGCCAGACAGACGCGCGTGGTAGAAATTATCACCAAGCAGAAGCAAGCATCAGTCATTTTGAAATGACATTGACATTTACAATGAGATAAAACTCCTCCCAATGCATTTGACAGTCCATATTTATCCTGCCAAAACATGGGCATTCTCCTCTGCCTTATTCTGGTTGTGGCAATGTGACAAATTACAGAGACACCTTCTTCCCTGATATAAGGGAGCCCAAGGATTGTAGAGATTTGGCTCTCGTGGGTAAGAGTGCACAGCGACCCAAAGAGGACGGAGCAGTTGACGGAATCAGGGACAGCAAAGATGTAGATGTATGTGAGTCAAATACCAGTTGCAGTATGGTAGTGTGAATGACTATATCAAATGAGGGGACGTTCAGAATGAAAATTCTGTACCGGTGGGCCGGTGACGTCACGTCGTACACTAGCAGAGCGCATTCACCATGTCACATATGACATGACCTTGAGGGAAAACCTCTGTAAGGGAAAAACCTAGGGTGCAGCTGGTAGTGTAGGAGGTATCGCTGACTTGCTATGCAATTGCCCTGCATACGCGCTAGCGGCGATGCTTGAATCCAACAACGACAAGACAGACAAGAAGATGGTGAGATCTCTATCGATGCTGCCCCTGGTGGGAGGACTCTTTCTATACCCAGGGACGGCCTTTGTCAACGCCAGGCCAAACAGCAACAGAAAACAAAAGCTATTTCAGAGCCTCAATAAAGAATCTGGCCCTCATGGGTGTCAAGCACCCATGCACACAAACACCCGGCCCGCGCTACATCTTGCCTCAAAGCCCACCATTTTGAGATTAATCCTGCGTGTGAGGCTCGCCATTGCCGCCTCACTCTTGCAATGTTACGGAGCTCAGAGGAATATGTTCGATCTACTTCGCGCTTAGATGACCCTGATTATCATACACGACTTCACAGTCCTGCCGTGTCATGCAATAAGTGTGGTTTTAGGACAATGATGAGGTCTATAGGCGATGGACAGAAGACTAGGGCGAATAATTTCAGCCCACTTGCCTACGTAAATCCGTTACATGTACCCAAGGGAGTCCACCATGGAGGCCATAAACCACTTTATGGCATTCCAGGGGATGTTCCTGTGTTGTGTTATGTCGTTCCAAAGTTGGCGACTTTTGAAGTGTCCGGCAGATTTTGTGCTGACACTAAGATAGTAGTACTTGGACTTGAGTACAAGCTTCTCGATAGGTGGGCGAACATTATACACACTGGACGAAAACCACCTCATATGCGTATGGGATATTGAAAAAGATCGCAATATTGTTTCAATATCGATAAAGTGTTGGGTAAATCGGCACTCTAGAACCATTACTTTGAGGATGCAGCTCTCTTCTCGTCTTCGTTTCGGTCGGTGTCTGGTAGAACTTAGCTGCGCCAGGCGCAGGCGAACTCACCTGCCTCAACTAGAGCCCTTTTAATGCTCTGAGACATTGAATCTTATGTCTTGGGATCATTTGGTTACAATAATGGAAGATGGGTCATGGTCAGCCGAAAGATGTTGAGGTTTCCTGATCAGCTGAAACACCACAATTGCATCTCGTGTGGACCGACAATAGTCGTTACCAATGGCAAGAATGGTTTCATCGTACTGATCCTCAAGGGTAAAGTTTTCTTTTGAAAGGAATCAAACATGCTCCACTATTCGTTGATGGGCTTTTCCGCTGGTGGCTCTTTTCTTTAGCGGTGTCTGGACCAAGCCAAATATCAATCTTTTGTCACGATTAGCAGTTCAACATAGCACATGCTTTTCGTTCATTGTCTTTACACCCTAGGAGTTTGGGTCCGATATGAAAATATCCATGTTGGTGCCGTGCAAGTCGCTACGAAACCATCCGTGGAGAATGATCAATGCCTTTGGTCAAGTACATCTTTGTTGTTCTTGTAGTTGTAGTTACGCATGTACACGAACAAACCTGTGACGTGCTGCTGCTTTACAACATTTGGCATATATAAAACATTCATATTCAGATCCCGGCTACCACATAGCACCGTCCACCAGACTGTCTACCAAGATAAGCGCCAGTCTTGAAATCGGACACCTCGAAAAGTTTTGAAGTGCCTTTCCGGTCTAGCACGAAGCTTACTACACAAAAGGCCCCTCTCGTTCATTTTGACACAACGATCCCGCGCACTTTCTTCCATAACAACTGGCAAAGCCACATCACGCATGCGCAATTGAGACGCCTCTAAAATAGTTCGAATCGCAGTTGACCGCCAGCGCAACAAAAGTGTGCCAAGCAAAACCCTTCCGTTGGCGTAATTTTTGCGTTGCACGATCATGGCGTATAGCAACGGCACGCAGCACATCTTCAACTTCTTTAACCACGCTGCAGGTAGTCACCAAAGTTTCTTTATGTCGGACAAGGAAGTATATATCCAGCATTGCCTGCAGAACTTGCGTGGGTGGGACAGAATTGTTCAGAGAATCAAAGCTTCGATGCGCACCATTCTGGATCACCCAGGTAAGATATATGATAACCTGCAGCGGTTATTATGCGAGCTGGAACACGCGGAGTTCATGCTGGCCAGAGCAGAATGCCGGTTTCGCGATGTGAGACCTTTCGGAATGGACCATCATAGACAGTCTTATGGATGGAACCTTGCAGGTTGGTGTGATCCTCCGTCAGGCATGCAGGCGTTCTACGCCCAACGTCAAGGGTATGCCCGTGGTCACAATTCTGATACCACGTCGGCGAATGACCCTTCGGCAAACCTCTTCAACGGCGGCAAGAAAAGAAAACGGGACTACGGCGATGATGAGCAAGCGAACGCCGGCGCCGGCAAAAAAGCGAAACAAAGTGCAAATACCAACGATGGTTCATCTTGCAAAAATAGTTATAGGACACCGGATCCAGTAGGCGGCCAAGGTTCCCATAACACTCCTCCAGTCAACCACGCGCATCGCGGTCAAAAACCTCCCGGAGATGACGAACACAAAAACACTGGCCCTAGCTGGAAAAGAACATGTCGCCTCTCCCCTAAAACTCATCATAATCACACAACCGAGCATCCGAGCGGTAATGCAC